TTTGAAAGCTCTAACTCCTTTCTCAACATTTCATTTTGATTTTCCAAGTCTGTTTTAGCTTTCAAAAGAAGATCATTTTTAGCAATAAATTTAGAAATCAGATTTTTATATTTGGAGTTCATGGTCTCAAACTCCGAAAATAATTCATCATAAGCATTTTGTAACTCATTAAAAGATTTTGAATTTAATCTATTTGAGTTAGAAGATAACTTTGGCTCTGTGAGAGCTAATAGAGATATCATCTTTATTGGTTCTTATTCTTCCTTGTCTCTATAGATCTCCTCAAGCTTATCCCATATCTCCTTGGCATTTGAACAAGAAGAAACTCCTTTATATACATTAAGATCAATTACACAACACAACATGTGCATAGCCTTTGTGTTTTGTTGAGCTTTCTTCCGTTCTTGATCACTCCACTTCTTTGCTTTCTTTGTAGGAGAAGAATATCTTTTCTCGATCATCATCCAAGCTTCTATATCAAATGCTTGGATAAATATCATCATAATCTTCTTCCAACGACGATAATTTGTTCCATTGAAGTGTGGAGGCACGTCAATTGATCTGGATTCTTCCATGGAGAATGAACCGGAAGTGGATGCCATCTTTATCGATTTAACTCTTCCCGGATCTACTCAAGAGGCTGTTAAACCTTCAAATGAGTCAAGCTCTGATACCAATTGTTGAGTTAATCGATTGATGGAAATGGCCAAGAGGGGGTGAATTAGAAATTAAAATTTTGGTGGAAGCTTTTGCAGAAAATTGAAAATATTTACACACGATTTAGAGTGGTTCGACTTTCTCAACCAAAGTCTACATCCACTACCTTAGCTATCCACACTAAGGATTTTCCAACAAATTCACTAATTTGTTCTTTCTTTTGAGGACAAAGAGTAGCCTTACAACTCCCTCAAGAATTATACCCCAAATTCTTGAGCACACTTTTTTTCAAAGAGAAATACACAAATTTGCAAACTTACAAGGAAAACCTCACAAGGTAAGATGTTTGCACAATTCTAGAACAAGGAAAGAACAATAAAAAATAATTACAAATGAGCACAAATGGTGTTCTTGAAAGCAAAACGAATATTGAAAGGAAAATTGGCTTGATTTGCACAAACTTGGTGTTTGATGCTTTCTCTCTTGTTTCTCTATCATTTCTTGTTGATCAAAGGCTTCATAACTTGTTTAAATACTCCCTCAATTGATTCTGAATGTTGGGGATGATTAGTGGAGTCAATGGAGCCGTTTAAGTGTGAAAACCATTAATAAAACAGCATGGAGTGTGGGGGGAATCGTTTCCCTAAGTGTAAAATTCAAATATTTCGACCGTTGAACAGGGGGGAATCGGTTCCCTCCGAGCATTCTTTTTTCCTCGGAGCCAAACCATTCAGGGGGAATCGGTACCCCCTTGGGGGGGAATCGGTTCCCCCTTGGGGGGGAATTGGTTCCCCCTTGGGGGGGAATCGGTTCCCTCTGAGCAATCTGGAATTTTTGGCTTTGAAATGGTTCGAAATATTTTGTAAAATTATTTTGAAATTATTTTAAGATTAAAACTTAATTTTACACTTGAGTAAGGATTAAAAATGACATTTGAAAGATTTGGAGTAATATTTTGATATTCGAATAATTAAAACGAATATACTTAGAAAATCTTTTGGAAAATCTTAAAATTCATTTAACTTAATTTGTTATATCGAAATATCAAAATGTTTTCAACATAAACCCATTAATACGAATTATTATTATTAGAAGAGATAAGAGATATTCAATTATTTAAAAATACCGAGACTAAATCCCTAATAAAATTAGATGAATTGTCTCTATAAGTTTAAAATAGTGAATATTTCCTTTTCCCTTCAAAATTAATTAATTTTAAATGCAATCAATCAATTTTTTAGGTTTTTCTAGTGGGATATTTATTTATTTTAAAATATCGGAAAAGAACATTTAGTTGTCTTAAGGCTGTCCCTTCTTAATATTTTAAAATAAATAAATATTACCCTTAATTCAATTATGTAATCAGTTGAGTTATGCTAATGAGGCTTTTAAACGAAATACAAATGATACATTGAAGCATTTAAAAAATATATAAATACACATATGGACTAAAAAACAATTTTAAGACTATTTTTAACTTTATTTTACTTTATAACTAGATACATATTTTCTAAATACGATATTAAACATAGAACATAATATTTATTCTAAAATATAATAAAAATTTAAAATAAAATATTAATATCATGCTCTATATACAATATTATGCATAAAATAAAGTAATATATAATATAAGCAAAATAAATATCTAAAACATAAAACATACTTTAATGGTACCAATAAACAATATACATTTATATCTATTCATTACATAGTGACAAAAATAAATGTATAGTAACCTTAGTATCCTAAACATTAATAAACAAATATCATGGCATGAAACAAGAAAATCACATAACAGGAGCACTAGAATCGTAAATAAACCATAAATATAGGACTAAAATGGAAAATCATAAACATCAGTACCCAATTCCGAACAAAAAATAATACATATAATAGAGGACTAAATTAAAATAATACAAAACCAAGTATCCAATTCGCAAATCATGTAAAATAAAAGAAATGGTGACCAAATCACAAAAACGCTAAACTTAAAGGGACCTAAGGCACGATTAACCCTAAAAATGACTAAAACGCTGATCACATTAAACAAAAAAGACCAACAGGGTAATTTAACCCTAAACTAGTGACCAGAAGATAAAACATGCTAAAGGTATAGGGACCTTAGCGTGATTTACCCAAAAATCCTAAAATATCAATACCTTCCCCCTTTCCATATTTCATTTCTACCCGATACACTCAAATCCCTAATTCCTTCTCCCTTTTCTTCCTCCCTCAACTCACGGTGGCTACTCACCAAAGAAACAAAACGCTCACCGTCTCGGCCACCCTACATGAGTGGCCATTGCCTCGTCGAAACCTATCGCCGATGAACCCCGATGAAACCAAACAACCTAGCTCCTCGTCTGCCTTGGCCGAAAGGTCCTAACCCAAAAGAAAGCCACCACACACGGCGGCGCTGCTGCCCAAACTACACTAACCCAACTCTAATCACTCCCCCTACGACCCTATTTAACGAGGAACACAACAAACTCCAGGTAAACTTGCTCTTAATTTAGAAAACTACCTTAAAAAAAGCTCCTGTATTTCTGCTGAAAAAAACCAGAGGAAAGAAGATCTTTTCTCTATTATATGGTTCGGTTCTTATAATCGATTTTACATAGGTTTAAATAAATAAATAAATAAAAACCATCCTAGATCTACTGTGGTGATACTGTGTTGATGATGATGTGCTTTTAATGCCCCAGATATTCCGTGGTTTTGTTGATATCTCTGACAGGCTTTGACCGGCGTGGCAGTGACAGTACTTGGAACCATCGGCGGCGGCTGCTGAATGACATCCCTTGGGTATAGTTAGGTTAGGTTATGTACCGGGTTTGGGCCTGTACTCGGGTCAACATATTTGAGTTTTATTTGAGCTCGGGTTGTTTGGGGTTTAGTTAGGGTCTATTGGGCTTGAGTCTTTGAGGTTTGGGGGTTATGGGATTTGGGGTATGAAAAATGATGGTTACACAACTTCCTCTGTATTTTAACATTTTTTTTTCGGATCATGATAGTGTTGATTTGTTATCTCATTGATATTCCTTATTTTGGACATTCAATTTAAATTTTGATATACAGTTTGCGTTCATGATAGTTTTCTCACGTTGACGCTGATTATGATTTGTCGGTGGTCTTTCAATAGTTCGATACTCTTTTGTGGTTTGTTTATCGATGTAGTCAAATTTGTTCGTATCTATCTTTTATTCGAGTTTTTATTGAATTTTTAACCTTTTCCTTATATGATCTTAAATATGATCTTAAGTGGTTAGTTATTATGTCAATAGTTATATAAAAAGTTCTAATTATACGATTAGTTTATTGTTATGATATTAAACATTTATTATAATTCTGAATTTTTTTATTTTAATAAAACTAATTTCTTTTATAAGAAAAATTGAATGTTTAATTCAATTTTTTTAATATTTGGAAAATTTTAAATATTTCAAACTTTATTAGTTTACAAATTACAATGTTTTCTTATCAAGATAAAAAACAAAACTACTTGCATAAGTTAAATAGTATCAAATATTATTTATCTGTTTTAAGAAACACATCCTATACAAGGTTATATATATTATATTTAATATAAATATCTTTTTATTGTTTAAAATAAAAAAGTATAAAATATTTTACTCATTATAGTTTTAAATCTAAATATGATTTTAATAACTTTTAGTTTTTTATTTAAGCTTGAACTAAAAATACCCTTAAACTACAATTTTTTCTTTAAGTCTCTAAACTATTTTTTTATCAAAATAAATCCTTAAACTATAAAATGTAATCATACCTAAAACTATTTTTTTGATAAAATAATACCTTGAACTATGCTCTTTTTTGCTTTAAGTCCCTAAATTATTTTTTATTAAAACAAGTACCTAATTTTATGTGACATGTCAACATCTCATTAGTCCAAAAAAGTTTTTTAATTAAAAAGTAACATGACTTAAAGTGGTTACATATAATAGTTTAAGGACTTATTTTAATAGAAAAATAGTTTAGGGTCCTAAAACAAAAAGGAAACATAATTTAAGGATTTTTTTTTTACTTTAAGCCATTTATTTAATATTAAAATAATTTTTATTTCATTATTTAATATATAATTGATTTCAATAATTCTTTTCATTATGTATACAATTATATTTATGTTCTTTATGATTATCTTTTATTTTCATATTGCTTGATTCCAACTATATATTTAGGTACAAGGTTTTGAACTTCAAATTTAACTCGGTAAATGTGAAATAATAATTTAAATTAATATTTTAAAAATAATTTGGAACGATCGGTCCGGTTAATTTGGTTTCCGATCCAAAGTAGTGATATTTCCTTTTTAAAACCCTAGTTACACCCACACTCTTAGGCTGAGTGTCGACGGATTCGCATGCGCTTTATCATTCCTTTCATATCCTCATCCATTTCCTCTGGTCACAATCGTGTCGCCTCACGCCTCTTAAACTCCCTCTCAGCCAATTCCCAACGCTCAACCGTACCATCCTTTTTCAATTGTCAGCCGCCACCCATGGCCGCATCAGAGGAATCGCTCCGCAAAGCTCTGGTCGAGAAGCTATCAGCTGTGGAAGCTCAGGGCAACGCTGTCAGAGCTCTCAAAGCTGCCAAGGCCTCCAAGCCGGAAATCGACGCTGCAATCGGAGCGTTGAACAACTTGAAGCTTGAGAAATCGTCGATCGAGAAGCAGCTCCAGGCTGCTGTTAGTGGTGGCGATGGTGATGGTGCTCTTAGCAGGGAAGCCTTCCGTCAGGCAGCTGTAAATACTTTGGAACGGCGTTTGTTTTACATCCCGTCTTTCAAGATTTATCGGGGAGTTGCTGGGCTTTATGACTACGGGCCGCCGGGTTGCGCCGTTAAATCCAACGTTCTTGCCTTCTGGCGTCAGGTATTGCATGCTTATTGCTCTTGCAATTTTAGAGAATCTTATTTACTTTGAAAGCATTAGCAAAGAATTAGGACGCATGCGGATGTTTACTGAATTGATAGTATAAATTAAACTTTATTCAAATTGGAGCTGTTTCTGTTTCGATCTTTTCAAATCTAATTAAAGCCACTTTTCTCGTATATACTTTCTTAGTTGCGTTGATGGACGTTCATAAGACAATTATTTATTAAACCCAAAACAGTTCTAATTTAGCTTGTTTGAAATACCCTTCTTTCAGCACTTTGTCCTTGAAGAGAACATGTTGGAGGTTGACTGTCCCTGTGTGACACCTGAGATTGTCCTAAAGGCATCTGGTCATGTTGAAAAATTTACTGACCTTATGGTTAAGGATGAAAAGACTGGAACCTGCTATCGAGCTGATCACTTGCTGAAGGACTTTTGCAATGAGAAGCTTCAAAAAGAACTCACCATCAGTGCAGAGAAGGCTGCTGAGCTTAAGCATGTACTTGCTACGTTGGATGATCTGTCGCCTGAAGCTCTGGGTGCAAAGATCAAGGAGTATGGTATTACTGCTCCGGACACTAAAGACCCTCTATCCGATCCATATCCGTTCAACTTAATGTTCCAAACATCAATTGGTCCATCTGGTTTGAGCCCTGGGTAAGTGCTTTTGATTTAGCATGTTGGGGCATGTGTTTTATTTATTCTGGTGGTGCAAGAGTTAGTTGACTTCAGAACTTATTATTTCTTGTAATTATTCAACATAAATGAAACATTCTATCTAAAGAATTGTGTGCAACTTTACTCTGGTGCAGGTATATGCGTCCTGAAACAGCACAAGGAATATTTGTGAATTTTAAAGATTTGTACTATTACAATGGGAACAAGCTTCCCTTTGCTGCAGCCCAAATTGGTCAAGCTTTCCGAAATGAGGTCTTAAAACCTGTCTTTTAAATCTTAAAATATGTCAATTTATTCCCTTGTTGGATTTTTTTGTGCGTTTGCAAATTTACAGCTTGTATTTTTTAAACTGAAGTTGACTCGCTACCCATAAAATGGTGTTTCTTGGATTATTGCTTTCTTAGTTGTTAAGATGGTTGCTCTCATTACGGTACATTATATCATGCAACATCAGAGAGATGAAATATGATGATACAATTTTCTATATGTATAGATATCCCCTCGCCAAGGGCTTTTGAGGGTTCGAGAATTCACTCTAGCAGAGATTGAGCACTTTGTTGATCCTGAAGATAAATCTCATCCAAAATACCCAGAAGTTGCGGACTTGGAGTTCCTGATGTTCCCAAGAGAAGAGCAAATGTCTGGACAATCTGCAAAGAAAATCTGTCTCGGTGATGCTGTTTCAAAGGTTGGTCGAAGCTTTACCATTTCACTTTTCCTGCTAACATCCCTCTTCCTACCCTTTTGTGATGACACTGTGCTTCTTGTAGGGAATTGTCAACAATGAAACCCTTGGCTACTTTATTGGCAGAGTTTATCTTTTCCTAACTCGTCTTGGTATAGACAAAGACCGTTTACAGTTCAGGCAGCATCTTGCCAATGAAATGGCCCATTATGCTGCAGATTGTTGGGATGCTGAGATCGAATGCTCGTATGGCTGGGTTGAATGTGTTGGTATTGCTGACAGGTCTGCTTATGACTTGCGTGCTCACTCGGTATGATCTTGTCTCCGTCTTCATCTTATCTTTATTTTGATAAGGTGGTTATTATAAAATATCTTAATATCATAATTTATGAGGGTAAGCTGGTCAGCTTGGTTATGTTTAGGAGTGCCATATGAACAGTATGTTCTATGAGGAACAACGAGAGGATATCATTAATTTTATCAAAATAAATCTGGTTTTTATCCATTCTGCTGTTGTGACTTCTTAGGTACGTTTAGGAGTAATCTGATATCCAGCCATGCTATCAAAAGCTAGATGAAACACAAAAGGAAAAACTATTATTTTCTACTCAAATATGATGTATACTAAATAGATTGACTCAAGCAACATCATTTTACTGTTTATGTCAGGAGAAAAGTGGCGTCCCGCTTGTGGCTGCTGAGAAGTTTTCAGAACCTAGAGAAGTGGAGGTATATTTGCAGATTACCTTATCATTTTCATAGATTAGGCTAATGTTAAAGATTACATTGTTTATATATTTATAATGCAAGAAAAATCCTTTTAGTTTTACTCCATGTAGTCGTAAATAAATTGATGCCTTGTTCATATATTTTCAGAAACTGGTTATAGCTCCTGTGAAGAAAGAACTGGGCCTTGCATTCAAGGGAAACCAAAAGAATGTTGTCGAAGCTTTGGAGGTAAATGATAAAATAGTTTTTTTGATACCATGTACTGTCTGACCATATCACTTGATACATGAATTTCTTTTTTGGTTAGGCAATGAATGAAAAAGAAGCTCTGGAAATGAAGGCTGCTTTGGAATCCAAAGGGGAGGTGGAATTCTATGTCTGCACTCTTGGGGAAAATGTGCCCATCAAAAAGAATATGGTCTCAATTTCTAAGGAGAAAAGGAAAGAACACCAGAGAGTTTTTACACCATCTGTGATTGAACCATCCTTTGGAATTGGGCGGATAATTTATTGCCTTTTCGAGCACTGTTTCTACACAAGGCCAAGCAAAGCTGGAGATGAGCAGTTGAATGTTTTCCGGTTTCCTCCTCTAGTGGCACCTATTAAATGTACTGTATTTCCACTGGTTCAAAATCAACAGTATGAGGATGTTGCAAAAGTTATTTCGAAATCATTGACGGCTGCTGGAATCTCGCATAAGATAGACATTACAGGTATTTGATTGAAGATGAATGAGATGCCTCTTTAGTCTATCTTCCATCTTCCTGCATTTGTATGCCCTGAATTTTTTGCTTAGACCTCTGTGTTTTCTTGCTCTGAAATTTTCCTTGCATTTAAGAGTACTTGCCTGATATATTTGATTAATGCATTCAACTATAGCAAATTTCATGTTTCTGTAATTGTAGAGATTGGCATTTCCATCATTTCAGTTATACATGGCCATCAACTCATCCCTTGATCCCTTCTGGTATTAACAGGTACCTCAATTGGTAAAAGGTATGCTAGAACAGATGAACTCGGTGTTCCGTTTGCCATTACTGTCGATTCAACAGCAGATGTGACAATCCGGGAGAGAGACAGCAAGCTCCAAGTGCGTGTTAGCGTGGAAGAGGCTGCCTCGATCGTTAAGTCCGTGACCGATGGGCACAGAACATGGGAGGATGTGTGGGAAAAGTTTCCCCATCACACCTCTGGGTCAGCGGATGATTAAGTGATTCGAGATTCGAAATTCGAGCTTGCATTTGTGACATAATAACACAATATCCGAGTTGGGAGTAGTAAAAGTTTTCATGGTAATTTTGATGGAGATTACCGTATTAAAAGAAAAATCTGAATTTAACATTCTGTAGGCAAGACCATCTGTTGATGTCTCTTTTAACAGATGTTTATTGGTTGATTTGAGAGATTGAAGCTGCTTAGGTTATTGTTTATTGGTTGATTCTCTATACTTGAGGGATTCAGTATCGAGGCTAGGATCAATTAATTGACTTGAGAAATTGAATTTTGAATTCAAATTTGGTTGCCATAATTTTAAAAAAAGGCAGCCCTGCTAATATAAACTATTTTAGTTTACAACTTTTATGAAGATTTTGTATTCAAACGAAGTTTTATGTTTGGATATTGAATATGATATTTTTAAAAAGAATTGTTATAACTTTAAACATGAATGGTACGATCAACATTTTGTATTATATAAAAGAAGATAAAATCTTGCAAAATGCTAGAAATTAAATAGCCCATTACTTACGGAAACGAAATAGAACAGATTTTGACGTAAGCAATGAGGAATTGGAATAGATGAAATATCCATTACCGAAATTACCCTTCCTCCTACCTTTCCAACTTTCCTCAAATGGAACCCACCACTTCACCTACCCACACACAGGTATCTTAGTGAGATATATATAATACGTATCCATTCATCTCCACGTTAAAAAATGGTAGCAGGATTAAATATTATAAATTTATTAAATTAAGATTAATTTAATAGAATGGATAAGTTTTAGAGATTAAAATTATTATTATATTACATTATTATTTTTATTTAAATAACGGTTAAATTTAATAGTAAAGTATCAAAATAGAAATAAAACTTAATATTAAATATGGTTTTAAAAAAATAATTGAGTAACCAAAATAAAAACAAGAAAATAAGTGGCGACGAAAATAATTAAATGACATTTATTTTAATGTAATGTATCTTAGTTAGAATTTAGAATTATATATATTAAGACTTATAATTTAGGTTTAAAATTTATGATTTATAAAGCTGAGATTCGAATTTTAAATTTTAAAGTTTAAATAATTAAAATTATATAAATTTAATTTACATATATGTATATAATTTTTAAAAAAATATACTTTTATTATACATTTTTTATTAATTGGTATTTTAAACTAATTGAATAGTAATGTATTTGAAATAACTAAAAATATTTTTATCCTCTTAATTAATAATTAATATTATATATATATTTTATATTTCTATATAAACTTTAAATAATATAATAAGAATCGCTAATTAATAAGTTAAATATAATATTAATAAATTTACATATATAAATAATCAAAGATGATTATAAGATAATATATATTTAGATTTTTTAACCTATTGATAATTCATACATCCTATAAATACAACTGCTCTATTTTTTTTTTTGAAAGAAACCGTTTGACTCTAAAACTTTTAAGAAAAAAAACCTTTTGTTTTATTACTAAGACAGCTTGATGAATTGTATATAAATATTTAGTTATGAATATACATTTTATAGAAAAATATAATTAAAAAAGTATAAAAATTTACTATAAATACAAATATAATTAGGTGAGGTGTAGTTGTTTACTCCTACCCTCCAACCCCACCTCGTCTGCATCTAAAACCCAACGCCTCTCTCAATCCGATTCTCTTTTGTTAAAATCTAAAGTTAGAAAAAAGATTTAATTTTTATATATAAGAGCCCTCCTTCACCAACCTCCTCTCTGTTCAGCCTGTGATCCCTTTGTTCTTTCTCCATGGCCACCATTTCCAAGCTCTCTAATCCCACCCCAGCCGCTTCCCTTTCATCATCTTTCAAATCCAGATATTCTTCCTCTCTTAAATGCTTCGTTGGCTTCCCTGCCAAACCCGGCTTCAACTCCAAGCTGCTTTCATCTTCATCCTTGTCCTCGATTAACAACCACCCTTTCAAGAGCTCCTTGGTGTAAGTATTTGTGCTCTTTTTTGTCAAAGCCCTTTGTTTGTTTAAGTTTGTCTTCTTTAAAGGTTTTCTTTTTCTTTTTCTTTTGTTGATGCATGCAGATGTTTTGATCCCATTTCTTGATTTGATGTGGGAATGAATTTGCTTTGATTCTTATCGTCGATTTTTCATTTGATGTGGGAATGAATTTGCTCTGATTGCAAATGTGTTTTCTTATTTGCAGTGTCAGATGTTCTGTTGTTGATGGAAATGGTAGTTCAGTGAAGAGGACTAGTTTGCATGATCTCTATGAGAAAGAAGGGCAGAGTCCATGGTATGACAACCTTTGTCGGCCGGTCACCGATTTGCTGCCGCTGATTGAAAGTGGAGTTAGAGGTGTCACTAGTAACCCAGCGGTAATTGCCCTGTAACAATCTTAAAATTTTTTTTATCTGTAGTTTTAGGTTTTCTGGTATTTGTCTATTTGATCCCCTGTAACAATCTTAAATTTGTTATTGCAGATTTTCCAGAAAGCTATATCGTCATCAAATGCTTACAATGACCAATTCAGGTATGCATAGTGAATCCAATGTTTTAAGTAATGTTAAATAACATAGATGTTAGAGATAGTAACCGGAACTTTGTTTGGTTCGGTACTAAAAGTTCGTGGTCCGGCACTCTGTTCGTTGAGAAAAAATGGGGTCTGTCAACCTAAGGTTTTTGCAATCTTTAACTTATACAATTTTCGATTATATTGAATTTTTCTCTCTTTTGTCCGTGGTTTTTTCTTGTCTAGGTTTTTCGGCTTTCCACATAAAATTTGTATAATCTGTGTGTTCATTCTGTTATTTTATTCAGACATTGAAGCTTATCTTTTCATGTCATAATATACCCTAAATACATTGCTGCTGCAGAAAGAAAAATGAATAAGGCTTTAGTTGGCTGGTTATCATGATGTCTTGATGTCTTGATGTATGATGATACCATTTTCTCTTTTGAATAATCATGTCTTTTAAAAATGCTGGAAATTGTAGGGAACTTGTACAGTCAGGAAAAGATATCGAAAGCGCATATTGGGAGTTAGTGGTGAAGGACATTCAAGATGCTTGCAAACTTTTTGAGCCAATCTACGATCAAACAGATGGAGGTGATGGTTATGTTTCTGTCGAGGTTTCTCCCAGACTAGCTGATGATACTAATGGGACAATTGAGGCAGCCAAATATCTTCATAAAGTGGTTGATCGTCCCAATGTGTACATTAAGATCCCTGCAACAGCACCATGCATTCCTTCGATCAAGGAAGTTATCGCGAACGGCATAAGTGTGAATGTCACCGTATGTATTTCCGATTTCCCTTGCTTAACTTAGAGTGGAAGTCTGGAAGATGTAGCCTTGTGCTACACGCTTCTGTTTTACAAAAGTTCTTATGAGCATCTACTTTTATACCTATTCTAGCATTTAAATGTGCCATTAGCTGTAACTCGATGACTGTTTTCATCTGATCAGAAAATCTTTCCAATCATGAGACTGTTTGGACTATTATAATTCTAGGCTTGTTCCGCTGAAGTTTTAGAAAATATCGGACTTAACTTGCATGTACACATACTATATTTGTTACTTTTATGTTCTAAACTTTATTTTCATTTCCTACGTGTATATGCAGCTCATATTTTCACTTGCTAGATACGAAGCTGTCATTGATGCCTACCTGGATGGCCTTGAGGCTTCTGGGTTGAGTGATCTCTCCAGGGTTACAAGTGTGGCTTCCTTCTTTGTCAGTCGGGTAGACACCCTCATTGACAAAATGCTCGAAACAATTGGAACACCAGAAGCCCTTGATCTCGGAGGAAAGGTAACTAAACCACAATATACACTTGTGTGCACTTCAAATATGCACCGAATTACATGTCAAAATTCGCTTACGTCATGGTATGTTTACTCTCCTTTAGGCTGCAGTAGCGCAAGCAGCACTGGCATACAGGCTCTACCAGAAGAAATTCTCCGGTCCAAGATGGGAGGCTTTGGTGAAGAAGGGTGCCAAGAAACAGAGGTTGCTGTGGGCCTCAACTAGTGTCAAGAACCCTGCCTACCCTGACACTCTATATGTCGCTCCTCTTATCGGACCTGACACAGTGAGCTATCTTTTTGTCGAATATAGTTTTATTTTCAACTCAAGTTGATGAATAACCAGGTAATATTTTCGGCAATTTGTGGTGGTTGCAGGTTTCAACCATGCCCGACCAAGCTCTCCAAGCCTTCATAGATCATGGCACGGTTTCAAGGACGATAGATGCCAACGTGTCTGAAGCAGAAGGCATCTATAGTGCACTAGAGAAGTTGGGGATCGATTGGGGCAAAGTCGGCTCACAACTGGAAGACGAGGGAGTGGAGTCTTTCAAGAAAAGCTTTGACAGCCTTCTTGACACATTACAAGAGAAGGCAAACACTCTTAAATTTGTGACATCTTAGGTTTGTCCGTCACTGCAACCAAATAAAAGGAGCGGGATCTTGGTTGGTGCTTGGTGAGCGCTACGTGGAATGTTGGATATCATGTAATATGGAAGTGTTTGTTTAATGGAACTTTTATATTGTGCTTGTTTTCTGCCCTATCATGGCTACTGCTATTGCATGTGTTGTCATTGGTTAACATTATAAATTGTTCAAGTATGAAGTTTCTTGTTCCATCAAGTGCGTAGTTGAACTATATATATTCAAATGGACGACTAGGCCTCCATGCGGTTGTTCCAAAGGAGTGTAATGCTGAACTGGTCGCGATCAAGCCAGCCATGAGACTGGACAAGGCTCAGGTGCAGCTTGTAGGTCATGTTCAGTTTGGCACTCTGGCTGAGGCCACCTCAAACAGTAGGCATTGGTTGTCATACTGGTTGTCAATCGGTAAAATATTAAGTATCTTCAGTAGTTTGCATGCTGGAATTCCTCGACTATGAAGCTCCAGAGCCAGATTCGATGATACGATGAAGAGTACAAGGAAAAATTATCATCAAGACAAGTAAGGCAGACATCCTCATCTTCAGCTGAAGGTTGCTGCATATAGTTAGGTCCATGTGCAACTTTTGGTGCCAAAGCTCTCTGATAACTCAGATGGGAAGTCTTCTTCTGCCTAGGGGTGCACAAAAAATCCGAATATCCGATTTTGCGAAAAAAATATCCGAAACCGGATTTGGGAAAAACCGGTTTTTTTTAACCGGATCGAATTTTTTAAAACCGGTTATTTTAACCGGTTTGGATAAAAAAACCCAGACCGGTTTTTTTACCGGATAAAAAACCGGTTTGAAAAAAACCGGTTTGAAAAAAACCGGTTAAAAAACCGGTTTTTATCCGAAAAAAAAACCGGTCTGGGTTTAAAAAACTAGCCGTTAATATAGCTGTTTGTGACCGTTTTTGACCGTTTTTTTCTTTAAAAAATTACCATTTTACCACCCTAAACATGTATAAATAGGTTGGAGATGTATTTGGTTGATTACAACTTTCTCAAATCTTATTATACAACACTTAAACATCTCTCAAATCTTAGTTTTGTAATTTTTTGTTCATCATGAGTAACACTGCTGAATCTTCCGTCGGGGGAAACCTTGAAGTCGTGAGAGTGATCGAACACACTCGAAACAAAGATATTTGGGATCACTACGATTTATGTGAGATGTCAAATGGCTCGAGGAGGGCGCGTTGTAAACTTTGTCTAAAGTTTCTTGTATCGGAAGGAAATACAACGTTGAAGAACCATTTGACAAAATCATGCAAGGCACTTCGCTCAAGATCGGATCCTAGTCAATCGAATCTTACACCGCAAGGTGGTGTTTTTGTTTACGACAACGAAAAATTACGAGAAGCGTTTACAAAGTTCGTGATTACAAAAGCATTGCCGTTCGACCACTTTGATGATGAAGATTTCACGACAACAATTCAACAACTAATGCAACCACGTTATACTCAAGTAAGTCGTACTACCCTTAGAAGAGATGCTATAAAAATGTGGCGTACGGCGAGGGAATAAATGATTTTAGGATTCCAAGAACACCGTTATGGTGTGTCGCTTACATGTGACGTTTGGAGTTTCCCTCATAATACCGAAAATTCTTTTTTAGCCGTTACGTCACATTGGTTAGATCAAGATAATTGGCAAATGATGAAAAGAACAATCGCGTTTGAATTATTCGGTGAGCCGCATACCGGTGCTAATTTATTTACACTTTTAAAACGGGTAATTTGTCTTTATAAATTAGAAAATAAAGTTTTTTCTATATCCTTTGATAATGCATCGAATAATACAAACGCGGTTCCAAGATTGAAATTATTACTTTCACCGATTTTAGACGGTGCATTTTTTCATACCCGTTGTGTTGCACACATAATTAATTTATCCGTGCAAGCCGGTTTGGAGGTTATTGAGCCAATTAGATTAGAATTTAAAACAATGATAAAATCGATTCTTTGTAACAACAACAAAAGACTAAATGATTATAAACGATTTTGTAAGTCTGTTAATAAAAAAGCTTTGGGTCCTAATTTGGATTGTCCAACTCGTTGGAACTCAACTTGGATGATGATGCATACTGCCTTAAGGCAAAGGGAAACATTGCAAACATTTCACGATCGGCTTTTCGAGAAGGGTCATGTCCCAAACATTTATCCGGATTCGAGTTGGGAAACTATAGCCAAAATAACCGATTTGCTTGAGGTTTTAAAAAATGCAACAACTTTTTTATCCGGTGTTTATTACCCTATTAGCCCGTTGGTTCTTAATCAAATATTTTTGTTGGCTACCCGACTAAATGACTTTGAATTTGAAACCGAAGTTTTTCAAGAAATTGGCTTTGCAATGAAGGAAAAACTTTTAAAATATTTTAAGGAGATTCCCCCCATTTTTACTTGTGCCGCCGCTTTAAACCCAACGTTAAATGTTGGTGGGGTTGAAACACTAATTGAACAAATTGCGTTTGCTTTTAATCTAACCGATGATGAACCCAACTTTGTCCAAAACCAAATAAATTATTTTAACAAATGTTTTCGAGACATGTTTGCAATTTATTTAACTAAATACGGATCAAGTAGTGTAATACACGATCAAATGAGAATGAATGCGGAATCATCTAGTAGACGTCCAAGTAACATAAATTTGAATCTTTTTAACACTCTTGTAAATTCCCAATCCAAACGATCACGTACTACCACCCTAAGTAGCGAGTTGGGAAATTACATGTCATGCGATTTTCTATCAAAAATGACATTTGAAGAGTTTGAAAGTTTGGATATTTTGGCTTGGTGGAAAGAAAAGAAAGCACAATTTCCGATTCTAGCCGCCATGGCCCGTGATTTACTAACCGTCCAAGCTTCTACGGTAGCTTCGGAATCCGCTTTTTCTGTTAGTGGCAGGGTTATATCACAACGGAGATCAAGACTAAGTCCCGAGTCGGTGGAAGTATGCATTTGTTTAAAGGATTATTTGGATGGAGCGGCTCGTAAGCAACATATCACCACCCTAGAAGATGCAATTGATGCCGATTTGGAAGCAAACTTACACATTGAAGAAGTCGAACTTGGAATATCCCCTCCAAACGAAGAAGGCGAAGATGATGAAGAAGAGATGGCAATGTAGTTTATTTTATAACTTTATTTCAATTATCATAAACTTTGTTTCAATTATCGAACTTGAAGTTTTTAAGTATTTGAATTTATCGAACTTGGAAGTTTTTAAGTATTTGAATTTATCAAACTTGGAAGTATTTAAGTATTTCAATTATGTTGAGTTAATTAAGTATTTCAATTAAGTATTTGAATTTATCGAACTTGAGGTTTGATGCTTTCTCTTTGATTCTCTCTTGATTCTAGTTGCTTGATGTTTCTTGTCTTTGATCAATGGCTTCTAAGCTTGCTTAAATACACCTTGAATCACTTCTGAACGTTAGTGATAATTAATGAAGATAATATAGCCGTTTAAGTGTGAAAACATTTAATAAAAATGCTTGGAGCATGGGGGAATCAGTACCCTCTCATAGGGAATCGGTTTCCTCTCATAGGGAATCGGTTCCCTAAGTGTAAAATTTAAATATTTCGACCGTTGAATAGGGGGAATCGGTACCCCAATGGGGGAATCGGTTCCCTCCGAGCATTCTGGAAATCTCGGAGCCAAACCATTCAGTGAGGAATCGGTTCCCTATGAGCAATCTGGAATATTAAAATCGGTTTTTTTATAACCGGTTTTTTAAAAAAATCGATTTTTTTAAAACCGAAACCGGTTATACCGGTTAGGATATCCAACCCTCCAAACCGGTTAGAAACCGAACCGGTTATTTTATAAACCGATTTTTTTTCTATGGGAAAAAACCGGATCGGATAAAAACCGATCCGGATTGGATTGAAATCCGAATTATGTGCAACCCTACTTCTGCCTAGACTCCATTCCATTTCCTCCCAATACCCAATGGTTCCACACCAGAGCTGCTCATATTTCTTCGTAGTGGTTTGTTTCTTCTTGAAAATGGGTTGCAGACTTATCACACCTAGAGACAGAGACATCAAGCAGCAAGCGAGAGCATCTCTTCTCAGCATCATAAGTGATTGGTCTAAATATTGTAACATGAGCTTCATTGGCTGAATCCTCTGATGTTGTAACTCGAGACGGGACATGTATTTCAGCATAAAAATGGAAATATGTTGCTTTTATGTCGATAACCACATGAGAAGAAGAGATATACCCCAGTGAATAGTTAGCAGAAGAAGAATCTTAGGCAGATGCAGTGCCTATATATATATATATATATATATTGAATAACTAGGATTTTGACGCCAGACAGAATAGTGATTATCCTGTAGGCTAGCTCCGACAGACGATTCACAAGAGAAAATTCGCCCAAAAACCAGAGAAAAAAGTCTCTAGGGTTTAATAAAATATTATAAAATCAATAACTATCTCAAAAGCAGTCCACAAGCCGGACTGTTATAGCAAAAAAAATCGTCTTTATTCGAATTTTGCCAAAAATAGCAAAAATCGTATTTATTCGAATTTTGCCAAAAATAGCAAAATCCCGAAAATCACTCTAAATTGAAATTCGAAATAAAATAAGCAATCTCCCAAAAATCCGGTCTAAATCGGATTTAAATTGACTTCCTAATTAACAATCGAAATATTACCATAAATAGTAAAAAATAACTAAATCTAGTGATTCGGAGGGGAAAACGGCAGAATTTGAGGTTGAAAAAAGGCCACATGGAGCGTAGCTCATGTGGAGAGCGTGCGCGTCGAAAAGAGCTTTCCGGATTGGGGTCTTATGCGCGATTCTGACACCTGTAGCCAAAGTTATGGCCAAAAGACTGAAACATATTCAAAACGACCCCAATAAGGAACATGTCACAATCAATTCCCGCCTTTGCGCTGATCTGCCAACTCATGGTATCTCAGCGCCATCAACGTGCAATCTGACAGCTCAGCATCATCTGTCTCGGATCCCCCTGCATCAGTCGCCCCGGGTTGGAAAGAACTCGTCCTCGAGTTCAGAGTAGTGTCATCAGGATCCACAAAACAATGACTCAGGTGCTTCACATTAAAGACATCAGAAGTCTTCAAGTGACTGGGA